TTAGGTATAGACAGATTCTGAATTTTTAAAAAAATCAGTAACGACATTAGGCCCATATTTATGTGCTTTACAAGCTTCCCCCCCCTGCCCCCCCTAATGCTTTTGTATGAGTGGCTGTGAAATCCGGGTGCTCACCATGGTGAGGCCCCATCACACAGCATGGCTGTCTCATCAGCGCCCTCTGTTGGAAGCCCTCCGCCTGGACATCAGGGAACCCCGGGCAGCTCTGCGAGGTGATCCCTCGCCACCAGGGGGCGGAGCATCCACGGGGACCTCGGAGCCCTGCAGCAGGAGAACCTCCGGGCGGCTCCCTGGGGCCCTGGGGAGCCAGGTGCTGCTGTCAGACCGGCTCCTGGGACCCCTGACCGGTGCCTGGGAGGGTGAGAGGCGGGTCCCGAGGGCTGTGACTGCTGTGTGCAGTCGGCAGCCACAGGTGCAGCCTCACAGCTCATCTGTCCGCAGGCTGTTTCTCCAACAGCAGGATGAGCTCCTCCAAGGTGCTGAGGGGGTGAGGTGGGGGGGGGCAGCTCTGGGGGTGGGACTTAAAGGGCGGGAAGCAAGGATTTCAAACACGCTAGCGTGCACACGGCCAATTCCTCGCCAAGAGCTGATAACGTTCCTTGCTTTTGAATTCCTAACTCAAAAAACCAGTGTGGCTCAGTGGATAGAGCGTCCGCCTGCGGACGGAAAGGTCCCGGGTTCGATTCTGGTCAGGGCATGGACCTTGGTTGCGGGCACATTCCCAGCTGGAGGTGTGCAGGAGGCAGCTGGTTGATGTTTTTAGCTCTCTATCCCTCTTTCTTCCTCTCTGTAAAAAAATCAATAAAATATATATATTTTTAAAAAACAACAAAAACTATATTTGCCTCTCGGGGGGTAGCAGATCTGGCAAAGAGAAGGACAGATTATCACAGGGACGCCGCTCCAAGGAAGGAGAGGGTTTTGGGCTCCTGTCGGGGAGTGGTCTCTGCGTGTGCAGGGGCGCTCGGCTCTTACACACAGGGTACTCAGCACAGCACTCCGCGCCGTGCTTGGTTGTCCTGCTGACCAGCACGTGGGAGGTGGGCCCGTGGGCACGCAGAGGCCGCCTCTGCCTCTCAGTGGGGCAGAGGACCACGGCGGTCTCCGTGCTCCTGCGACCCGTCTCCCCGGACCTGAGATGGTCCCGCCTTCCCGGTTACACCGGGCAGGGGCAGCTGCAGGGTCCGGGAACGCTGGCACACCGGGACGCCTGGGTGACCGGCGGGCAGGAGCCGCGTGCTTGACGGGTTCGCAAAGTCAACATCCTCACTGCCGTCCACAGAGCTGACCCCGTGGGCTGACCGTGTCCGGGCCGCCCGGACCGCCGCGGGAAACACGTGCTCTGAGTCGGTGGGTGTGCGTGGGTATCCCCGTGCGGGAGGAGGAGCAGGCTCTGATGTTTTAAACACACCCGTGCTTCCTTTCCTGTGACGGGTGGGCGGAAGGGGCCCCGTGCTGGCCTGATGGCTCGGGGAGGCCTGCGTGGCCGGCTTGCAAAATCAGACCTACAGTCACCACAGGGATGGTCTGACATTAAACTTTTTTAATTTATTTATTAAATTATTATCTGTGTACATATCTTGCCATTGCCCCCCACCCCCATACATGCCCTCCCTGCCCAGAGCTTTGTGTCCATTGGTTGTACTTATATGCAGGTGAAGTTAAACTTTAAAGCAGTGACGGTGGAGTCACCTCCTAGGCCGGTATCTTTACCTGCGCCGGTCTGTCTCTGTGCATCTATCGTAACACACTCTTGAAATGTCTGGGTAACTTGTAATTTCCCTTTTTCCGGAGCCCCTGGGGCACAGCCTCAGGTGGTGGGCGCCGGGACAGATGCCAGAGATTCCTTCGTTATCATGTTCATTGTTCCTGCACCCGAGTACGTGTCCGTCTTTTCACTTTTTATCCAATCCCAGGGGCTTCCCACCGCTTTGCTTTCTCCCGCCTCCTCACTCATCACCAATGGATTTCATGTCACCCACCTGTGTCCCTCCTCTGATTTCAGTGTATAAATACAGGTGTAACCCGCCCTTCTCGGGAGCATCATCTCAATCCGTTGGGGTTCTGCTTCCCGGCACATGTCAACAGTTTGGCTCAAACAACCTCACAAAGATTTACAGGTTCCGATGGTTTGTTCACGTTAACACTAGTTTTTCCTGAATTGGGGCCGTTTCTCTGCCGAGGAGCTGCCGTTTCCCAGCGTTGAAGCCGTTGCGGGGTTAGGAAACGTGTCGTTTTGTCACACGTGTTGCAAACCATTTCCCCCAGTTCCTCCTTTATCTGCTTCTAGAGTCTGTTAATAACCCTTTGTTTTTGCTGCAAAGGAATTGTTATTTATTTATTTTAGAGAGAGGAAGGGAGAGAGAGAAACATCAGTGATGAGAGACAATCACTGATCAGCTGCCTCCTGCAGCTCCCCATTGGGGATGGAGCCTTCAACCTGGACCTGTGCCCTGACCAGGAACTGAACCATGACCTCCTGGCTCACAGGCTGATATTTAACCCCTGGGCCACACGGGCCCTGAACAGGGGGACCAAGGCCACCTCCCTGGCCCCCGGTTTCCGGAGCTGCGCTGGCCGCCTCCCCGGTGACGGCACAGCTGACTCACCTCTGAAGCCTCCCGTGGGCCCCAGCTGCCCGCGCCCTCCCTGTCCCCGGGCACCTGCGCTGGCAGCGCTCCATGCAGACACCCCCACGGGGAGCGCCTCCCGGGTGCTTCCTTCCTGCTTCCTGGGACCCGGGCGGGTCCCTGCCTCCGCCCCGCAGGTGAGGAGCTGGGGTCACAGAGGGCAGGGCCTCGCCAGGGGCACACGGTGAGGGCACCGCCGTTCGCCCTGCACGCCCCAGGCCTGACCTGGCCCTCTCCCCGAGGGCCGGGAATCCCTGTGTCCATGGCAGAGCCAAGGCCACAGCCCGCCTCCAGGCAGGAGGCAGCAGGAGCCTAGACAGCACTGACACAGATGGACATGTAATCAGTGGACGCACTTACTATTGAATAGCAAACTCCACGCCCAGTTAACGTTCCTTAACGTGTAAAGAACACAGAGTGAGAACTCTCCCTCCCTCCAGCCCCACCTGCCCACTTCCCTCCTCCCCCGCGGCTCCTGCCCTTGCTTCCGCGGCCTCCTCCAGGGGCTGCTCCATGTTCGTCTCGGAGCCTGTACCTCCGCTCCTCCGGAAATTACACTTTAAAAGTCAACAGCCGGCCCCGTCTGGCTGATTTGCTCAGTGGTTAGAGTGCTGTCCTGTGGACATTCCCAGCCAAGGGCATGGACCTTGCCTGGAGGTTCGGTCCCTGGCCCCGGTCAGGGCTTGAGCAGGAAGCAACCAATTGATGTGTCTCTCTCACATCGATGTTTCCCTCCCTCCCCCTCCTCTCCCTTCCTTCCACTCTCTAAAAAAAAAAAAGAATGGAAACCTTGGGTGAGAATAAAAATGAATATATTCATTAAGCCCTGCTGGTGGGGCTCAGTGGTTGAGCAGCAACCTATGAACCTGGAGGTCACGGCTCAGTTCCTGGTCAGGGCACAGGTCTGGGTTGTGGGCTCCATCCCCAGTGAGGCACGTGCAAAGGGGTGAGGGGGGGGGGGAGGAAGGTGATCGATGATTCCCTCTCATCATTGGTGCTTCTCTCTCTCTCCCTCTCCCTTCCTCTCTGAATATCTATCTAAAAGCCTGAGCGACCATCGCAACCAAACAGCCAGCCAAACAGGCTGAGTGGGGTGACCAGGCCGGCAGGGGAGTTAGCAAGGGGTGACCAAACGACTGAGCAGCAGGCTTTGTGGGGTGACCAGGCCCATAGGGGGGGCAGTGAGGGGTGACCAGGCCCACAGTGGTAGGCAGTTTGGGGTGACCAGGCCGACTGGGGAGGGACAGTGAGGGGCAACCAAAATGACTGAACAACAGGCTGCGTGGGGTGACCAGGCCTGCAGGGGGGGGCAGTGAGTGGTGACCAGGCTGGCAAAGGGGGGCAGTGAGGGGTCACCAGGCACGTGGGGGGGGGGGCAGTTGGAGGTGACCAGGCTGGCAGGGGGGAAGTAAGGGGCGACCAGGCCAGTGGGGGGGTGAGGGCAGTTGGGGGCAACTAGGCTGGCATGGAGGATAGTTGGGGATGACCAGGCCAGCAGGAGGGGCAGTTAGGGGCAATCAGGCTGGCAGGCAGGTTTGCAGTTAGGAACCAGTGGTCCCAAATTGTGAGAGGGATGGGCCAACTGCCAGTTTAGGCCCAATCCCCAGGATCAAGCCTAAACCAGCCATTAGACATCCCCCAAGGAGTCCCAGATTGGAGACCCTCCCCACCCCGGGCACGGAATTTCATGCACCAGGCCTCTAGTGTAAAATAAATACATACAAGCCCACACCCTTCACACGTGTGGCAGGTCATGGCCTGCCGGTGGGGAGTCAGGAGGAAGGGGGCGGGGGCGGACCCTCTCCAGGGCCAGAAGAGACCCACTTCAACTGCATGTGCCTGTGACTCAGACACCCCTCCCCCTGGCCCGGCCCACGCTCCCCGGCCCTGCGGGGCTCTGTTCCTGAGCCGGGACAGTCCCAGAGGAAGTGGGTGACCGGCCCCGTGACACAGCCCCACACACCTGACCCGCCACGCCCCCGGCAGGTGCAGACCGGGGCGGCAGGAGCCATCCGGCCGAGGGGAGCCAGCGCGAGGCCCGCCCCGGGCCGGAGGGCGGGAGGGCCGACAACCCCTGGGGCCGGCATGGGTCCCAGCAGCCACTTCCCTCCAGACCTTCTCAAAGAGCCAGAGCGAGCGGCGCCTTAGTCCGCGCCACGGGAGCCGGGCCCTCAGGCCGGTGACTGGCGGAGCGAGCGGCAGCTCCCAGCTCCCACTGCCCAGTGCCTGGCTGGTGCTGCCCGTCCTCTCGCGGCCTTGTTCCTCCCGCCGGGAACTCCACGCCTGACCGCAGGGCCCGGCGGCCGCCGAAGAGCATCCGTCCTCACCGCCCGCGTGGAGGGCGGCCGCATGGAGGGTGAGTGCTCCCCGGCCACCGGGCTCACACCCGCACACGCGCGGGCGGACGGCTCGTCTCTTCTGCGGGTATTCACGCACAGACGCCCCTGCTCACCTGCCTGTGGTCAGGAGGGAGGAGGTAACGTACAGCGGCCTCCCTGAGAACGGGGGGGGCTGTGTCCGCGGGGGAACAGCCCGGGTTCTGATGAGCTCATGCCTGCAGGCTCCGGGTGGGTGTGTGGACGTGTGTGTGGACACACGGCATGTGTGGACTCGCAGGCCGTCCTGTGAGTGCACCCGTGTGTGCCGCGTTCAGACCAGCCCTGGGCCCTGGTTGCGTGTGTGATGCTCCCGGCGGGCTGAGGTGCTTTTGAGAACAAGGACGGGAGTTTCCCCTCCTCACACACAGTCCGCCGGCCTCCGCCAGCGGGGTGCCGGGTGCCTGACGGCTGTGGTGTTTCTCACGAGGACCAGCTTAGAGCCGTGCACCTGGGCTCGGCCACATCGGTGCGGAGTCTGTCGTTAACCGGCTTCTCCCTTCACCTGAAAGCACTCAGGTCACCGGTCGTGGTTCAGTTTAATGAACTGAACCACCAAGCGAAATAGAAACAGACTCAGTGAGAGAGAGGCTGCCAGTGAGAGACGGGGGGAAAGGGTGGTGAAGGGATTGAGCAAAACAGAAGAGAGAGAGAGATTCGTGGGCAGGGACACTAGTGGGTGGTTACAGGGGTGGAGGGGGTGAAGGGGGAGAGGGCACAGAGGGGTAAAAGGTGACGGGTTGAAAAATACATACGTACATCCATGCATGTATTAAGGTCATTCACGCATCCTGACAATTAGCCACCATGAAAAGTGCCCGCCTCTCTGACTGCATCGGCGAAATGAATGACAACAACACAGAAGCAGTGATGGAGCCTCCGGCCCGCAGCGGCCACGGCTCACCGTGCCGTCTGACCCCTGTGCCCCCGAGGCGCGGGACACGGACTCGCCAGCAGAGCTCCGGAGCGCCTCAGTGTCCCCTCTCCTCGCTGCGGCCCGTCCTTCCTGCCCGCGGCTCCGGGAGCGAAAACAGTTTTGGGTTAAACAGCAGTTTAGATGCCAATCTCCGGCCTTGAAGGGCACCGGCTCCCCAAGGGCAGGCACCACGGACAGCGCCGCTGGGCTCCGGGCTTTCCGTCCGTCTCTGTGGACAAACTCGCAACCCATCCCCCCCAGTGCTACCTTGGGCACCGCAGTCCTGACTGCCCGTTCTCCCAGGGATGTTTATATTTCATATACATTTATATTTCATACATGTATTTCATGTATATCTACATTCCATGTATATATCTATATTTCATATATTTATATTTCATATAATTTCATATATATTTATATTTCATACATATATTTCATATATATCTATATTTCATATATATCTGTATTTCACATATTTATATTTATATTTCATAGATAGATTCATATTTTATGTATATTTCTATTTCATATATATATTTCTATTTCACATATATTTCCATTTCATATATATTTATATTTAAAAAATACTTATGTAAAAGCTTCAAGCAGATAACATATCCCCCTTCATTTACATGCATGACTGCACATTATGTCACAGTTGGGTTACTTTTTTATTGATTAACTAGAGGCCCGTTGCACAAATTCATGCACCAATGGGCTCCCTCAGCCTGGCCTGCAGGATCAGGCTGAAACCAGATCTCCAACATCCCCTAAGGGGTCCCAGAATTTGATAAGATGCAGGCCAGGCCAAGGAACCCCACCGGTTGGTACATGATTGGGGCTGGGGAGGGAGACGGGAGGTTGGCCAGCCAGGGAGGGACCGCAAGAGGGCTCTAGGACATGTCTGGCCCATCTTGCTCAGTTCCGATCAGCCAGACCCCAGCAGCAAGCTAACCTCCCAGGCTGAGCATCTTCCCCCTGGTGGTCAGTGCATGTCATAGCGAGCGGTTGAACGGCCTTAGCATATCATTAGCATATTACACTTGGATTGAACGGATGACTGGACACTTAGCATGTTAGGCTTTCATTATATAGGATATTTAGTACCCAAAACGCTGGTTGCTTTTCGGGGCTGCGTAGTACTCCACTGCACGAGGTCCCAGAGTGCCCTCACGGTGGGAAGGCGGTGCTCAGGCTGGTGGGGCAGCCGCCAGGGGCCACAGAGACGGCCTCACATACGCATTGCTCCCACTCGGCCCCGCGTGGCACAGGATGCGTCCCCACAGGTGGAGCCTGGGTCCAAGGTGGCTGTGCTGTCGCCCCCTGCGGATGGGGTGTGCGATTCCCCTCCCGGCAGCCTGCGAACACGCCCACCGTGCATTCCAAAACCGCGCATTTGCGAACCGATGGGTCACAGAACGTTGTTGTTTTGTAGTTCAGATTGCTTTTTCCTGTTATGAGTGACAGTGAGTAGCCATTTGCATGTTCTGTAACTTAATAGTCTGTATCCTCAGCATATTTTTTCTGCTGGCATTTTGGACTCTTCCTGCCAGAACCAGAAGCTATGAAGAGGAACTCAGTGGCGTATAAATTGTAAATGTTCTCATGTGCTGCTTGCTCTTGGTTTAACAGTAAGCAGAGGCAGGATGTTTCTGTCAGCTGAATCTAACCTCTGCTTTCTCTTCCCCTCTGCGGTGGGTGATGCTGAGAAGGGACGTCCCACTCGGAGGGGTACAGAGACCATCCACCTGCCTCTCTCTGGCACTTTACATGGCTTCTTCCCACGCTGTCACCTTGGACTTCCCGGCTCTGGCTGGGCAGGACGTGGGTGACGTGGGCCCAGGCCACTGCTGCAGGCTCCCCAGTGCTCAACTTCCTTCTCGGGGCAGGAACGGCCTTTTGTCACCCACACACCCTGCTGCTGCCTCGGGGGGCCGGCCTGGGCCCACTGGTCTTCCTGTCTGAGCACCAGCCTTGCCCGCCAGCTGCTGTATGTTTTGGGGGGCTGTTCAGGGAGCCCTGGGCCTGGCCCTTTAGTGCCTGCACGCCCCCTGCACAGCCCAGAGCCACGTGGGCAGGTCCAATGTTCATTCTCCTGAAAGAGCAGATTGCTGTCCTGCCGGCTGGCAATCCCCCCCCAGCACGTCTCCCATCTTCCCGGGCGGCCTCGGCAGCTCGTGTTTCCTGTGTGTGTGTCCAGCTCCCAACCCCATTCCCCTGGCGTTTGCGCTGCAAGGTGCTGCTGTGTGGGCTACTTTAGGGCAAGGTGACCAGACGTCCCGCTTTTGGTGGGACAGTCCCAATTTTTAACAATTTGTCCCGCGTCCCGCAGCATTTTAAAAAAGAATCTTTCGCCAAAACCGGTGTGGCTCAGTGGATAGAGCGTCAGCCTGCGGACTGAAAGGTCCCGGGTTCGATACCGGTCAAGGGCATGTACCTTGGTTGTGGGCACATCCCCAGTAGGGGGTGTGCAAGAGGCAGCTGGTCGATGTTTCTCTCTCATCGATATTTCTAACTCTCTATCCCTTTCAATTCCTCTCTATGTAAAATCAATAAAATATATTTGGGGGGGGAGGGAGAATCTTTCCAAAAATCGGGACTTTTTTAAAACGCCTCAGGACGCGGGACGAATTGTTTAAAATCAGGACTGTCCCGCCAAAGGCGGATGTCTGGTCACCTTACCTTAGGGACAATGACATCTTTACGATGTTTGGTCTGCCCTCCAGCTCCGCGGCGTCCTGAGCTCTTTGACCTTGGAGTCCACAGGGCCGTGTGGTCAGCCTCCTGATCCTTGGACAGGGGCTCTCCCGCGGGCCCGGGCTTCCGTGGGGGCGCCCACCGCCCCACCCCGGCCTGTGGCCAGGCCGCCCTCCGCCCAGGACGCTGCTCTCACCGGGTCTGTCTCTCTGTCTCAGTGGCCGAGTGGACCGCCCGGGGAGCCCCCAACCACACGCTGGCGCGCCTGCTGCGGGACTCGGCGGAGGGCAGGAACGGCAGCAGCGCCCCCAGGGCCCTGCGGCTCCCGGACGGCACCAGCGCTGCCTGGTACATCCTCACCATCATCGGCATCTACGCCGTGGTCTTCCTCTTCCGCCTGGCCAGCAACATCCTCAGGAAGAGCGACAAGTCCCTGGAGGACGTTTACTACCTGAACCTGACCTCCGAGCTCAAACAGAAAGGGCTCCAGAGCCGGGCGGCCAAAGGCTCCACGCTGACCATCGGCAACACGGCCGCGCCGCCGCCCCGCCAGGCCGGCCCGGGGCCCGGGCGCGGGGACAGTGGGCCCCACACGGAGATCTAGGCTTCCCTCAAAGGCAGGGCAGCCAGGTCGCCACCGAGGCCCCGCTGCCTGCCGGGGTGGAGGGGAGGGGAGGCTGGACCCGGGAGAAGGGGCTGGAAGGCCGTCTGGCCTGGGGCACTTCCACAGACGGCGTTGACCAGAGCCAGCATCCGTGTCCTCTTGGCCTCTGGAGCTTTGAGACGAGACCGTAGGGGCAGGAGCTCCCGGCCACGGGGTCCCGTCAGTAGGAAAGCGTGTGTCCCAGGGAAGGGCTCGGGGCAGCCACGATCTCGGAGCTGGGAGACCCCTGGGGCCCGTGAGCGGCTTTTGTCACAGAGAGAAGGCTGAGTCTGGCGTCCAGAGCCCTGGATGGAACTTCAACTTTAGGGGCCACAGGAACTTCGGGGGCTGGGGGCTCACCTGGGACAGGTGGGGGTTGGGATATCTGGTCCCAAAGGGTCAGTCCTTCTGAAGACCCCGGCCGGAATGTAGAGCCAAAATAGTTAACACAGAAGCTGGTGGGAAGGTCTTCGTTTTCGTTGATGTATAATATGTGTCCATGGAATATATACATTCCGATCCACCGCTTTGGTGTGGACCTTAGTTTCGTTACAGATAAAATGAGGGTGATGGCGCCAGTTCTTCAAACCTTATAGAGTGCGTAAGAGCTAATGGGATCATGTATGTGAATATATTTTGAAAAGTAAAATGAATACATCATTATAAGCCTTGTGTTGTTGGTGTTTGTAGTGATTATAGCTGATACTGGTGTTGGTGGTTGTAGGGAGGTTAAGGTGGCTGCTGATGGTGGTGCTGATGGTTGCTGCTGCTGCTGGTGGTGGTGGTGATGGTAGTGACAGTTGATGCTGATGGTGGTGGTGCTGATGGTTGCTGCTGATGGTGGTGGGGAGGTTGATGTAGATGGTGGTGGTGGTGCTGGTGGCTGATGCTGAGTGATGGTTGATGCTGATGGTGTTGGGGAGGTTGATTTAGATGGTGGTGGTGCTGGTGGTGATGGTTGATACTGATGGTGGTAGAGAGATGGATGTAGATGGTGGTGGTGCTGGTGGCTGATGCTGAGTGGTGGTGTTGATGGTTGATGCTGGGTGGTGGTAATGGTTGATACTGATGGTGTAGGGGAGGTTAATGTAGATGTGGTGGTGGTGGTGGTGGTGATGCTGATGGTGGAGGGGAGGTTGATGTAGATGGTGGTGGTGGTGGTGGTTGATGCTGATGGTGGTGGGAGGTTGAGGTAGATGTGGTGGTGATGCTGATGGTGCTGGAATTATATCAGGAAGTTTAATCAGCAGAAGCAAGTCAGTGGGGCCCAATGGGCATCCAGGCTGTGATCCCGCTGGTGGATGTGTCTGACAAGGGTGGGTGAGTCTTTGTGGGGAGGACAGAGGACAGCTCTGCCCGGGAGAGAGGCGCAGGGGAGGACGTCTGGTCCCTGGGAGTCCACGCGGGAGTCCTGAGGTCCATCCGGGCTGCTTCTGCCACAGGCAGGTCCATGTGGACTACTCCGAGGAAGAACCTGAGCTCCTGGCAAGCAGGCCCACCTGCACCGCACCACGGCGCCCCACACCCACCCTGCACCACACCCACCTGCACCACACCCACCCTGCACCACACCCACCCTGCACCACTCCCACCCTGCACCAGACCACAGCGCTGTGGGAAGGGGCCTGGAGGCGGGTGGGCAAGCAGGCGCCCGGGATGGTGCCACGGACAGAAAGCAAACACGTACGAACACCTCCAAGGCCAGGCCTCTGGGCAGCCGAGCTGACGCCCTCACCGCTCTGTGGGGTGGTGTTAGGGAACAGGGCCCGGAGAATGTGCCCCAGGACAGCGGGTGGAGGAGTCCTCCCTGGGGAGGAGGGTGCCTTGTGGGCTGGCAGGGCTCTGCTGCAGCTGCCACACAGCTGGTGGGAAGGTCAGAGCTTGGTCTACCGGATTCCCAAGTTCGCGTGACCATCCCACTAACACACCTCTACTCCCCTGCCAGGTGAGGAGTGGGCGGGCCACTGCTCGGGCCCCTGTGTCTGCCCCCTGGACATCCTGAGTCCCAGCAGGAGGCCAGTGCCTAGGGGGAGGGGGGGATGGGGCCAGAGGATTGGAGCTGCGCACACAATGGCCAGAGTGTGTGTGTGGGGGGTGGAGGGGGAGGAGGGGGCTGCCATCGTGGGGTCAGGAGCCCCGACAATGCCCGAGCCCAGTGTGAGGCTTAAATAAGTAACTGGGATGTTTCCCACCCAACTGGGTCTGCAGGGTAAGACCAAACTGGCACACACATACGCCTACTCACGTGTGGCAACGCTTCCGTTTTATTGGGGTGGGGGCGGTACCACTAGTTCACAAATACCCGCCCGGCAGACCCGCAGCCAGACTCGCTGAGGAGGGTTCCGTCACGCTGCTTCTTAGGATGAAGGGGCGCGCCAGTCCCTGGAGGACCGGTCACTGGCCGGCGGGGGAGAGCAGAGCCGAACGTGCCCAGGAAAGCCGGCGGGGAGAGGTCCTCCCTGGGAGGGGGGTGCCTCTGGGGCTGGCAGGGCTCTGGCAGGGTCAGGGGAGGAGCTGGGTAGACATGGCCACGCTGCCCGACGGTCCTTCCTCACCTCCACTCGGAGGTGGGAGGTGGCTGAGGAGGCTGGCTCTACCCCAGGAGGCAGGGTCCGGCAGGAACCAGAGGTTCTGGAGGTTCTGGCCTCCGTGCAATAGTGTGCTTCTGTCCAGGCCCCGTGCTGCGGCCACAGCAGGCCACCCCGCTCCGCCCGGGCGCTGGCCAGGCCTCCGCACCGGCTCTGCAGGGCGGCTGCTGGCCCGGCCCCGCGTCCGTCGGTTCCTCTCAGCTCAGGGATGCCAGCGTCCCCTCCAGGCTGGCAGGCCCTTCTCCGGGGGGACGTCGGGACGGAACATGCGCTCCCGGCAGAGGGGACCCGGGGGCCGGGGAGGAGGCACCATGTACCGGCCACAGAGCGGCGGCAGAGACACCCGACCCGCCAGCACCCTGACCCCCCCCCCCCCCGGACTGTGGGGGAGCGCACGCCTGTCTGAGCCAAGCCGCCGGCGGCACCGAGCCAGGCAGTCCCGGCACTAACCCCGCCCCCTCCGCCCCGACTACGGCAGGAGCCGCGTCAGACACACCTTCCGTGGGCGACACGTCCCTTCCCTGAAGCGAGTGAGCCAGAGGGAGCTGCTCTGGACGTGTCCCAGGACGCTCACATCCAAGTGTGTCTTGGGAGGCCCAGCAGTGAGAAGCCCCTGTGAGGTCAGCGCCCAGGGGTGTCCATGGAGGCCCCTGTGAGGTCAGCACTCTGGGGTGTCCGTGGGGAGGCCCAGCAGGAAGGTCTGTGAGGTCAGCACCCAGGGGTGCCATGGAGGCCTCTGTGAGGTCAGCACCCGGGGTGTCCGTGGGGGCCCCTGTGAGGTCAGCACCCAGGGTGTCCGTGGGAGGCCTGAGTCAGCGCCCAGGGGTGCCGTGGAGGCCTCTGTGAGGTCAGCACCCTGGGTGTCCGTGGAGGCCTCTGTGCGGTCAGCACCCAAGGGTGCCGTGGGGGCCCCTGTGAGGTCAGCACCCGGGGTGTCCGTGGGAGGCCTGTGAGTCAGCGCCCAGGGGTGCTGTGGGGGCCCCTGTGAGGTCAGCACCCAGGGGTGCTGTGGGGGCCCCTGTGAGGTCAGCACCCAGGGGTGCCGTGGAGGCCCCTGTGAGGTCAGCACCCGGGGTGTCCGTGGAGGCCTCTGTGAGGTCAGCACCCAGAGGTGCCATGGGGGCCCCTGTGAGGTCAGCGCCCAGGGGTGCCGTGGGGGCCCCTGTGAGGTCAGCGCCCAGGGGTGTCCGTGGGGGCCTCTGTGAGGTCACCGCCCGCCCGGGCCCCGCTGGGGCCGCCATGCCGCACCGCGCGAGCCCACTCTTCCGGAACATCGTCCTCCGCAGCCCGCTGGACGGCGCCAGGAGGAAGCAGTGCCTCCAGTACCTGCAGACGCTGCGGCGGCTGCAGTTTGACGGCTTCAAGACGGTGTACCTGGGGGAAACGGAGATCCCCGAGGGCCTGGCCACGGGCGAGGACCTGGGCGACGGGCTCGGCGTGCCCAGCCCCAGCTGGTGCGTGGTGCACGCGGGGGGCAGCCAGGGCTGGGTGCCCTGGCGGTACCGCGTGTACCTGAGGGACGAGCTGAGCGTGCGCCCCGAGGACGGCTTCTTCGCCGAGTTCTGCGAGGCGGCGAGGAAGGCCTACGGGAAGTGCGCCATCGTGGTCAAGGACGCCCGGCGGCCGGAGGCCCGGCCCCCCGAGGACGGGGCGCCGCCCGCCCAGGCCCGCGCCAGCCTGACCGGCATCGCCTGCTGCCCCGACGTGGCCGAGGCCTGCGGCCACGAGCTGCTCAGCCTGCCCGCCCCCTACAACTACCTGAGCCCGCTGGACCTGGCCTGGTCCTCGCTCAAGTGGTTCATCATCAACAACCGCAAGGAGTTCTGCCTGCAGTCCATCGACAGCCTCTACGCCTACCAGTTCATCCTGCTCAGCGAGCTCATCGGCAAAGGCGTGGAGCGGCTGGGCCCCGGCAAGTGGAGGACGCTCATCAACAAGGTGCGCCGGTGGGAGAATTACTACCTGGGCAAGTTCTCCTAGGACCGGGCCGGCTGTCCGGGCCGGCGGGCCCCGGCACCCCACGGCCGCCACCGGCACCCCCACGAGGAGCCGGCTCAGTAAAGCTTCCCGGGAGCAGAGGGTCTGGCCTCCTGTCGGTGACGCGGAGGCCCTGCCGGGCGGCCCGGGCAGCCCAGCTCAGGGCCTGGCGGGGAGCGAGGCGGACACGGCTCAGGACGTGCCCACGTGTGGGTCTCAGACACGGGAGCCGCGTGTGCCGGCCCCGGAAGCTGAAGCGAAGGGGTGAGCCCACCGTGTCCGGCCCCAAACGCTCTCGGAGCCAGGCATGCTCACCTCCCCACCCGTGTCCTCTGCCCGGCCCCCGCTGTGCCCACATCACACCAGGCGCGCGGAGCGGCGCCCGAGCTCCAGGTTGGGTGGTTCTGCTTTTCGAACGGTCCTGCTGGCACACCCGCTCAGCAGGACCTGCAGCCTGCCTTCCCCCGCCGCGGGCCCGGCCGCGGGGCCTCCCGCTGTCCTGTCCACACCGGTTTCTGTGGCGGCAGCTCCGCGGGTTGTGGGTTTGAGGTCAGGCGGGCCTTAGCCACGTGAGCCGCGGGGTGAGGAGGAGAAGACGGGCAGCTGCGGCAGACCCAGGGCACACGCGCCGCCTGCAGGGACCCCCCAGGCGCAGGGGCCCGGGGTCAGAGGGGCCATCTCGGCTTCAGCTCGTTAACGAGGAGGCTGTGGGCGAGCTCCTTGGCTCCCCGGGGCCCTGAAACGCTGGCACCCGCCACCCCGGGGCCGGCCTCAGCGCGCGGTGCCCCTGCCGTCGGGTCTGGGCTCAGAGTCCTCGCTCAGACCCAGCCGGGACCTCACTTCCTGTCTGTCCTTCAGGGACACCCTCCCGGGCCCCGCACAACCAGACCCACTTTCAGCCGTGTGACCAGAGGGCACAGCTCTGCCCCGGCCCCGGCAGGAAGTTGGGGGAGGGGGGAGTTCACTGGCCGGGGGGCGGGGAAGATGGCGGGCACAGCCCACCCCTCGGGGAGCAGCAGAGACCGTGGGCGATGGTGACAGCGACCCCACGTTCCCGAGGTGTGACGCCCCCGGGCAGCCCCACCCACAGCACCCCCACGGCCTCCCATGGCGGTGTGACCTCGGGGACGGCAGTGCTGGCTGGCGGCCGCCGCCCTGGCCTTGCCTGCTCCCTGGTGGGCGGAGCCAGCCGGCCAGTCAGGCAGGGCTGCCAGCCAGGCATGCTCCCTCCCATCTCACCGTCTTACAAACAGCCTGGGTCACACGCATGACCTCCTACAGCCAGACAACCCCCACACGTGGCAGGGCAGGAGCACATGAGCGCCCTCCACCTGGTGCCGGAGACCCAACCACAGAGCTTCACACGGAATGGGAGGAGCCCGCCCGCACCCACCCCCGACCCCCACGAAGGGGCACCAGGAACCCAGGGACCCATTCCCCTCCTGCCTCAGACTTGGTCCGGTCTCCATCACTCCACTGTCCACGTGGGGGGCAGTGAGCCCGCAGGCCATGCCACCCCACCTCCCCCCACCATGAAAGCACGAGAGGCCGAGTTCATGGGAAGAGGAGAAAACAGGGTGGGAGGGCACAGGTCAGAGGGCGGAGGTCAGAGGGTGAGGGTGTGCAGGGGGGCATCCTCCCCACAGCGTGGCCACTTGTACAGCCCAGCCCGGGGGGGGGGGGGGGGGAGGGAGGGGGTGCGGGGGGCCCTACAGCAGCTGTGGGTTTGCAGAACTCCCTGCCTCACAGCACAGCGGGGGGTGTGTATGTGAGAGAGAGAGAGAGAGAGACACACACACACACACACACACACACACACACACGACGCCACACAGCCTATCCCAGAGACCAGAGACCGGACGCTGCAGGCGTTTGCTTTACTGGAGAGCACACGGGCTCTCAGAGCCGCTGCCCGTCGCCGCCGCCGCCGCCGCCGGCTCGGCCGGGCGGGGATCCCCCTCTGCACTCCCCCGGCTTCTCCCCGGCGAGGCCACTCTCCACGGGGCGGGTGGTGGGCGCCGAGCGGGCGGGGCCTGGGGAAGGGACGGGGCAGCGGTCAGCGGGAGCCAGTGGGTCAGCAGGGGGACGCCCCCTCGCTCAGAGCAGCCGCCCTGCCTCACACACCTTCTCAGAGCCGACATCTTTCCTTCGCTTTTCAGAAAAGGTCCCCGCACTGAGGCACCAGTTTTCTTTCTCCCCAACCCCCAGCCCCAACCCAGCCGTCAGCCGCCCCCCGCCTCGGCGTTGGAGGGAGGGCGGAGTGTGAGTGACCCCCTTCTCAGTCCCCCAAACCCAGCCCACGCTGGCCGCGCCCCCGCTCCCCGCACCGGCCAGCTCCGGAGCCCAGCGACGGAGCATCTCTCAGGAGGCGGCTGCCGCACAGGCGCTGCAGTGGCCGGGCCGGCGGCTCCGGGGACCGGGTCCGAGCTGCGGAGGGGCAGAGCGGGGCGAGGGGGGCTGGTGAGGACCCTGACGCCCCTTCCCCCGGCAGACCCCCAGCCGGGCCCATCGAGGTGCAGGCGGCCCCCGGCCTGTGGCCGCCCCTCCCACCCCCTTGCGCCTCTGCACACCTGCGGGTGCCCAGAGCGTGCTTCCCGCGGGAGAAGGCGCAGCTTCAGCGGTTCCCCGGCCCTCAGCGAGGGAGAGCCGCAGGCCGGGCGAGGACAGCTCCAGCTCCGGCTCTGCGGCACCGGCGAGGGTCAGGGCACCCCGGCCCGCACCCCCTTGGACCGAGGGACAGGCCGCCCGCCCGCACCTCCCCGGCCAAGCGTGTACCTGGGCCCCCGCTAGCGCTCCTTCTTGCCCGACTTCTCCGCCTCCAGCTGCCGCTCCCGGGCCTCCAGCCTCTTCCTTTGGTATATCTTGGCTCCGGCAAACGCCAGGCAGAGAATCAACGTCTTCGCTGCCAGAATGTACAGCAGCAGCGGCACATGGTCGAGAACCTGGGGAGGAAGGAGCAGTGTGTGCGGCATCAGGCGCTTCGCGGGCCCTGTCCCCACGCCGCCAGCACCCAGCCCAGACCGCCCTCCTGCCAGCCGCCCGGGGCTGCCGACCTCAGGACCCGTCTCACAACCGGCCCTGCCGTGCCGCGCCCAGGCTGCCCACTCTGCACTGGCACCGCTGAGCGGCCGGGTGGCACCGGCTGTTCTGCGCGCCTGCCTCGCCGCCTGTGCGGGCTGCTGGGCCAGCCCGTCCCCCCAGATTCCCCAGCTCCGCCCCCACTTCCTCTGGCTCCCACCGCCACGAGCACTGCACAGAAGGCAAAGCAAATACAAAAGGAAGGACACCCTGCACGCCATTCAATGCAGCTGCACACACACCCGTTCACAACCAGCTGCGCACACCCCCGTTCACACGAGGCTGTTCACACACTCGTTCACACTCAGCTGCACACACACCCATTCACACGCGGCTGGTCCCTTGCTCCCTGACCCACAGCTCCCTGTCTCCCGCTCCTGAAGCCCCCTGCGGGCCCATCTTACAGACGAGGCCCAGCTGGGCACTCTCAACCAGCTATTAATGGACCTTACGTTTCCTCCTTGGAAAAGGTGACCAGACAGCCCACTTAATCGGGAAGTTTTTAAAACGCTTCGGGAAGAGGGACAAATGGTTAAAAATTGGGACTGTCCTGCCAAAAGCGGGACATCTGGTCACCTTATCCTTGGAGGAAAAAGCCAGTTTGCTGCCATAACTAAGCCTCTGTATGTGCTAGGATTTCCAGGCAGCTGAGCCTCACTGCTCCTGGGAAAGCCACTCTCTCCAGTTCTGGAAACCGCTGCCAGCCTGAGTCCTGCTGCATCCGAGCCCACGTCCCAGCCACCTCCCAGCCACGGCCCCGCCCCAGCCATGGCCCTGCCCCAGCCATGGCCCCGCCCCAGCCGCAGCCCGGCCCCAGCCCCAGCCCCAGCCCTGCCCCAGTCCCCGCCAAGGCCCCACCCCAGTCCCAGTCCCAGCCCCCAGCTCCAGCCACCTCCCAGTCCCAGCTCCAGCCACGGCCCCAGGCGCTGCCGCTCTGGCCGGGATCAGACAGCAGGCAGAGCCAGGAAACCCACTGAAACGGAACCACCACAAACAGACGGTGGAAGCGGGTCCCTGTTTACTCTCTCCTCAGCGGTCCCAGGGAGGCAGCAGGAGGCAGAGGTTCCAGGAAAGAGGGCAGAGCAGGGCAGCCAGGGTCACTGCCTCTGGGCGCTGAGCTTCACGGGGTTACCCTCCCTTTGATTTCTGCAAACCCCTGCAGACGGGGGGAGGGAGGCGGCTGCTGTGAACAGGCCCGGCTGGCACAGGGGCGGCCCTGCCCCGAGTCCTGACCACCTCGTCTGAGGCTGTGGGCCCCTGGACAACCCCTGGCCTCCTGAAGCCCCCAGTCCCACAGCCCGGTAGCTGGGAAGCAGGGTCTGTACTCCCCCAGCCCGCTTCCAGACCCAGATCCCCTCGGAACAGAAACCAGGGATGTTCCGAACAAGGAGTATAACTGAGAAAATACAAGCTCCTAAGTTTAAAAGACACACATCACATCGACATGAAAAAATACCCCAATTGTTCATAGCGCCCCTCTGGATGGTTTCTTTTTGACTTCCTACTTTTGGAAGGGCCCACAATCACATGCATTCCGGTGGCCGTCCCGTGACCACCCCCGGCGAACCCGCCTGCGTCAGGATTCCACAGCACACGTGGCACACACGTGACACACGCTTCTCCCACGGCCGCCCGGCTAGCCGGCGCCTCTGCGCTGCCCCTGAACCCCTGCTCCCAGCACCGGCCCAGGCCCCCCCGGCAGCGGCACCGGATGGCACGGTGGGTGACCGACTTCCACACGACACGGGTGGTGTGACCGCACGGGAGACTGTGCCCTTGGAACCCGGGGAACGCTGCCCCCGCATCTCCCAGTTCCCGCTGGAGCAGGAAACCCACTGGTCGGCAGCACAAGGTAGAGATGAGGGCGGGAGAGCGTGCGGTCGGGGACGGTTTCGTACGCAGCTGCTCCCTGAGAGCGCAATCCGCCGTGAAGGAACCGCCACGGGAGACGTGGCTGATGAAGGTTTTCCAAGACGCGGGGCCCGCCAAGGAGGCCCGGCCCCCTTCAGCACCTGTGGAGCCGGCGCACACCGCGCACGCGTTAACTTAGAGCCAGATGTTACCCATTTTAACTTAGAGCCAACTGTTAACCGTTACCCTGATTCCTGCCCGAGCCACCGTCGGGAGAGAGAAAGCCCCAAGGCCACCTGCGTAAACGCGCGCTCACCTGCCAGTTCATGCTGGGCCACTGACGGCACTCCTGGGCAGCACAGAGCCGGGCGAGCTGTCCCTTCCGGCCGGCGCAGGCCCGGCCAGCACGCGAGGGGGAGCGGGCTCAGGCTGCTGGGCTGGAGGGGAGACAGGAAGCAGGTCAGCGGGGGCATCCAGGGCCCAGCACCTCGGGGAGACGTCTCTGATGGAGAGAGAGGCACACGATGAGCACAGAGCGCCCCGCAGAGCGGAGGCCGTGTCCCCAGCGAGCTGACCGGAGCCCGGGGGCGGGGAGCAGTGGCCTGGGTCAGAGCCGGGACCTGCGCCGCTTGTTGGGCAGAAGATCTGGCTGATCTGCCAGGAACGGGAGCACAGCCGCCAGCAGGGGGCCCTCCGGCTCCTACGGGGACGGTGCTCCCGCTCGGCTCACCAGGGACGTGAACGCCCAGGTCCAAACTCGGCTCCTCCACCCCCACTTGCCCGGAACCCCAGCTGCTCGTGGGGGAGAGGCTTTGCCAGTTAATGAAGCGGATCTAGGTTGTTAGAGATTCCCGGGAGGGACGGGAGTACATGACATGGGAAACGTGGTCTAACGAAGCCGTCCGGCCTAGAATCCCCTCCTACGGCGAGGGGCCCCGGGGCAGGGGGGCAGGACTGACAGGCAGGGGCCCGGGGAGTGCAGGGTGGCGCTGAGGCCTCGCTGTCACCATTGTGAGCCGGTGACACATACCAAAGAGTCAGAAGACTCGCGCTCGGGATGCAGACACTACACATTCGGGCTTCCCTCCTGGGGCCTCGGTCCCATCTGCAAAGGGAGACAGGGTGTCAGCTGGCTGGGCCAGGGCCCTCCGCTGCTGGAACGTGGAGATGTACAGCTTCGTGCCGCAGTGCCCGGCCCGGCCCACGGCACTGACGTCTCATTCAGTCTTCACACCAGAACTCCGAGGGAGGTCACTGTCTCCAGAGACCGGAACAGAGTTTATGAAACCCGTCCAGGGTCATTGCAGGGGGACTGGGATTCAAGCCCCAGTCTGGCCCCCAGTCTTACCCTGATGCAGGCAGAGAGCTCTGCACCCAAAACCACACGTTTGCTTTTCTTTAAATAGACTCTCAACTAAAACGGAGAGACAGCAGAGGGTCTCATAGGCCTTCAGAATGGAGATACTACAACCTCAGAGAAGATGTTTCACAGAAAACTTTCTCACATACAAAAGCATCCTATATAATAAAAGGCTAATACGCAAATAAACCAAACAGCAAAACGACTGGTTGCTATGGTGCACACTGACCACCAGGGGCAGATGTTCAATGCAGGAGCTGCCCCTGGTGGTCAGTGCGCTCCCACAGGGGGACTGCTGCTCAGCCAGAAGCCGGGCTCATGGCTGGTGAGCACAGCGGTGGCGGTGTGAGCCTCTGCAGCAGCGCTAAGGACGCTTTGGGAGATGTCTGACTGACAGTTTAGGCCACTCTGAGGGCTCCCAGAGTGCAAGAGGGCACAGGCCGGGCTGAAGGACCCCCGATCCCTAAGTGCACAAATTTTGTGCACCAGTCCTCTAGTCTAAATATAAAAAGCTCAGCCCTGGCCAGGATGACTTGGCTGGGTGTTGTATTATGCACTGAAGGGGTTGCCCGTTCAATTCCTGGTGCACATGCCTGGGTTTCTGTCAATCCCCGGGGGAAGGGGCATGTAGGAGGCAGCCGATGGATGTTTCTCTCTCACTCCCTTTCTGTCTCTAAAAATTTCGAACCTCAACTATTCAAGGTCACAGAATCTTGAAAACAAGCTGGGAGCTGGCACAGGAAAGCCAAGTTTGACTTTTTCAAAGTCAGATAAGCTAACGTTAGGAATTTACACCATCATCGTTTCCCTGTGATGAAGGTGCGCTGACCTTCGCGTGTGAGTGGCCTGTTTGTCTTTAAGTGGCAGCAGGTTCTGATCTGCGCTCAAGTGTGGCCAGTTTCCACTTGGCGTAATCTCCAATGATCTCAGGGATTAGCCGTGTTGTGAAAATAAACTATTTAAGGCTGGGTACACGGTGCTTGTACAACTCCTCTGAGCTGTGTACAAACATAGCAGGGGAGTCGGGCCGTGGCCCATTACCTACCTTGATTCCCAAGGTCAAGGACAACAAACAGGTCCAAAATATTTGTAGGAGGAAGTAAATTATAAAGAACACCCTGTTGTCTGGCAAATACCAGGCCTCCCACACACAGGCCATTGGCTCTGCGACTTTAAGCGAAGTGACAGCAGTGAAACCCATTTCACAGGAGGCTAGTGACGTAAACAAGAGGTAAATTCCTACATCTCATCAAGTTGTAACGAAACAACACTCCACAAAGGACCGGCGATCCTGGAAGATCCGGTGCACTAGTGCGCTTACTGGTGGTGTGGCCTCCGCCCGTCCCCTGCCCCTCTCAGCCTCGGCTGCCTCACCTGTAAATCCTCCGAGACTGGATTAGAGACCCACGCTCCACCCCCGCCCCCGGGAAGTACTACACCAATGTCCAGCACGATGGTTAGACAAACGCCTCTCCTCGGCTCACGGCCAGGCCACGCTGCAGGCCACACACAAGGGCCGTCCCGGGAGGAATGCAGTCACACAAGACAGCCGCCTGGCAGACCACCGAGCGCCAGGACTCTATTCCCCGTGGCACCCAAGGCAGGGCACGTGACCTGGGGCAAGTCGAGAACCTCTTTGGGCCAAAGTCTCCTCATTTTAAAAGTCAGAATCCAGCCCTAACCGGTTTGGCTCAGTGGATAGAGCGTCAGCTTGCAGACTGAGGGTCCCAGGTTCGATTCTGGTCAAGAGCATGTACCCTGGTTGTGCACACATCCCCAGTGAGGGGTGTGCAGGAGACAGCTGATCGGTGTTTCTCTTTCATTGATGTTTCTCTCTATCCCTCTCCCTTCCTCTCTGTAAAAAATCAATAAAATACATTTTTTTAAACATCAGAATGCAGCCCTAGCCAGTGTGGCTCAGTGGATAGAGCATCACTGCAGATAGAAGGGTCCTGGGTTTGAGTCCAGTCAAGGGCACATGTCCAGGTTGTGGATTCGATTCCCAGTAGAGGGCGTACAAGAGGCAGAGCGATAATTCTCTCATCATTGATGTTTCCATCTCCCTCTCTCTCTTGAAATGAATAAAAATATATTTTCTAAAAAAAAACAACCCAGAATCCAAAGAACAATGCTGCACGTCTGGAATTCGGGAGCCACCGTTCTTGCTGACATCCCGGAGTCAAGACAGTAAAAACATACTGGCATCGGCCTCGACGTCAGGCCTGAGTGACATGCCTCAAGCTCTTCAGGAGAGAAACACAAAAAGCCCAACTGCAAACAGTGCTGGGTGCGGGGAGGGAGGGAGGGAGGAGAGGCAGATCAGAGTGCTCCTCTCACCCCTTGCCTCCATCCACATTACGGGGGGGTAGGGCGGGGGGGGTGTGTGTCCCATCTCCCTCGGTGACGTGCTCCCCCTCTGCAGGCCTCGGCAGGGCTTAAGCGATGAAAACCGAGGAGGCCAAAAATACCCGGGCCTGCGCTCTGCTCCTATAAACACCTGGTGCAAAATTAGACACGGAGGCAGCTGTCGTTTGCAAACAACGAGCCGGGACAGCTCTGAGGCTAAAGTCGGCCTAAGCAGTTCGGGCACTTTAACCCCGGGAACTATTCAGTCCTAGCTTAAAACTGAAAAATAGCCCTAACCAGTGTGGCCCAATGGATAGAGCACTGGCCCGGGGTCCCTGGTTCCATTCCTGTCTACATCCCCAGTGGGGGCGTGCAGGAAGCAGCTGATGGATGATTCTCTCATCGATGTCTCTCCCTCTCCCTTCCTCTCTCTAAAAAAAAAAAAAATCAATAAAAGTGTTTTAACAAATAATGGCTTTGAGATAAATCTATTTCCTTTACTGCATAAACATACTGACTGTTTCTTTTGCCAGATTTCTCGATAAACAGAACAGCTGCTCGCTGCCTTCGCTTAGGCCACTGGAAGCAACATGGACAGCACTGTCCGCCATGGACTCCGTCTCGGTCTCGGCACCCCTGGAACTGCCGGGCGGGCCCCGCTCTTGGGGTCTGAACCCTGGCCCGCTGTGTCCTTGGTCCCAACTTTCCGAAGCTGTCCCCCTCCCAGCCCCTCCAGCAGCCCTCACCCTCTCACCTGGAGGAGGTGTGTCCCCTGGCCGGCCTGGGAGAGCCGGGTTCCCTGGCCACCGGCCAGGGTCCTCTCCGACCCCAAACTTAGGGGCAACACCTGCCCCCTCACACCCCGACCCTCCCACTGAACTGGGTTCCGGATATTCACTGTCCCCAAGCCCCGGCCACCAACACCAACACCCTCCGGCCAGCACCAACCCCGGACCCCGGACCCCGGACCCCGGACCCCCGGGCCACGGGCCCGCCTACACTGCTCCCCAGACAACCCAGCGGGGCAGGCGGGCGGGTGAGGGCCATGCCCCTCGGGTCCCCGATTGGCGGGCATCCTGGAGAAAGCGCCAACGCAGGGTCGGCCGCGGACACCCCGATACCCCAAAGGGCCCTCGGGCTTCCGGTCAGGACGCGCTGTCTGAGAGGCCATGACTTACAGCTTCAGGTTGCGGGAGCCACTGCGCCCGTGAGCTTGCAAACCAGGACTGCCACATGCGGCGGGAAAACTACACGTCCCGAAATGCACCGCTCCGCGCCGGCGCAGTGGGTCTGGGCCGCCTTCCTGGGCGCACCGCTCTGCGCCTGCGCAGGGGGCCCGGGCAGAATACTGCCCCGGACCGTTTCCGGTTCCGCACTTCCGGGAGCCGGGGGTCGGACAGAGGCCGGAGGGCGGGGCGTCCCGGGACCCCTACACGTCAGCTGCGCCGCAATCCTCGGCGCTCCTGACGGCGGACCCCGGGTTCCCCGGAAGGTCCCAGCCCGGCTTTCACCTCCGCCACAAAGTGCGCGGATTCCTTGGGGACGGCGTGGTGCCCGGGCTGGGTCCCGGTCCCCGCGGGCAGAGCGGGAGCGCGCACCCGGACCGGAACCGGCGTGACGCGGGGGGGCGGGGCCGGGCAGAGCTGGGTTCCGGTAGGAGCCAGGTCCTCGCCCCCCGCCCCCCCCCCCCCCCCCCGCCCCGCCGTGGCGCTGTGTGTGCGGAAGCGCGGGTGTCAGGGGTGCCCGGGAGGGGCGGCCCGGGCCAGGGGTTCGTGCATCCCCCAAGTTGCCCGGGAGAATAACGGAATTGCTCTGCTCTGCCCCGGGGCGCAGTGGTTAGAGCATCGTGCCTTTCACGGAGAGGTCGCTGCTTCTGTCCCGGTCAGGCACCTGCCCGGGTTGTGGGCTCCATCCCCAGTGTGGGGTGTGCAGAAGGCAGCCGGTCCGTGATTCTCTCTCATCATGGATGTTTCCATCTCTCCCTCTCCCTTTCTCTCTGAAATCAATAAAACTATATTAAAAAGTCAACACAGAAACAAAACAACTGTCCGAGGTAGCTGCTAACTCTGGCTGAGGCAGTTTTTATTTGAGTCATCTATTTATTGCCCCAGGAAGCTGGGAGGGGAGCGGCGAGGGCCAGGCAGGGATGGGTCAGCCACAGGTCACATCCCAGCGTTCTCAGAAGGCGGGATGGAGCCGGGGCCTCCGTCTCCTGAGCTAACGGCGCGCGGGGAAGGGGGCTCCTGTTTGGAGTTTTGTCTCCGGCGCTGAGGCGGGAGGTCTTCTGGCCTTGCCCTGCTTTGTGGGTGGGAAGGGGGGCTGGAGTGCAGCCCAGACATCTGCCTCCCCAGCTCCTGAGTATGGACTGTGGCCTGCCTTAGGCCCGTTCCGGCCCTGCTCTAGCCCCGCCCACACTGGGGGTCTCTGCTGTGACCTTGTCAATTATCATCATGACCTTCAGGGGTCTGTCTGCCTCCCTGCTGGGGGCCTCCGCTCAGGGGGTCTGGGTCCCCTCTGTACTGCAGAGGTCAGGCCCGTGGCCCGCGTGGACAGATGGCAAATGCCGCTTATGAGAGGAATGCGTGAAGGCCCCTAATCCTTCATCTACACGGGAAACCATGGGACACAAGTGTGATGATCGGGCCTCCCGACCTGCCGCTCTGTGACGGTAGGCAGCGGCTGTTCCGACACTCTGACCCCTTTGTCTTTGCAAACGTAGTAAAGACGGACCCTGGAAGGAGAGGAAGCAGAAACGGTTCTTGAAGCCCAGGGCCTTTATTGCTTCCGCCATGCTGACGGGGGTGAAGGGGGCTCGCTCTCTGCAGGACAGTGAATGGCAGGGGGAGTGTGTGCCCGGGGGGGGGGGGTTGGAAGAGTCTCCCTCCATGGGGGGCTGGCCGCCGTGAATGCTTGCTCTGTCATCAGACCCGAGCCAGTTCAGTGCCAGGAACAGCAATGTGTTACACCCAGATTTTGTGATCCCCAGAGACCACCAGGGAGCCGAGTCTGATGCAAGAGCATAAGAGTCTTTTTATTCCAGGCTAGCCCGGCTCACCCCCCACACACTGACGCAGAGGCAAGGCGGAAGAGAGAGCGAGCTTCAACAGATCAAAGGGCTTTATAGGGGTCTGGGGAGGGAGGTGGTGTCACTGCTTTGGCTGGCCCTGATTGGTTGGGTGAGGGCTAGGGTCCAGTTACACAATGACACTCAAAATGGAGGGTCAGGTGCCCTCTCAAATGCACCTGCAGTAAGCCCATGCTCCGCCCTCTTCATCAGGACGCGCACTAGGAGTGAGTCAGAGCTCCCGGCAGCCCAGGGACAAGTGACAGCTTCCCAACCTCACACGTGGGTCCACGTCCTGCTGATCGGTGAATTAGCCGCCACAGAACACGTGTCTGAAGGAGGAACATGGCGCTTTCCGAACCTCTCCTTTCTAGCCCCCTCCCCCCACGCTATTCGCCGGCACCTGGCCCCCATCCGGCTCTGCTTTCACCACTGACACCGAAGGTGACAGTGCCGTCGCGGGCAGTCAGGGGCCTCCCAGCTCAGCACTCCCAGGAGCAGCGCCAGCCCCTCTGGGGACACAGCCGCCTGCCCCAGGGACCCGCACACGCCATGCAACGTCCCCGCAGACAGCAAGCGGCGCGGTGTCTTCCGAGAGAGAGTTCGGGGTGCTCCAGGGTGTGGGCGTTCGAGGTCGGCTCCCTGCCTTCCTTGCTGGTCAAGGAGACTTTTTTTTTTAATTTCGCTAATCCTCATCTGAGGATATTTTCCCATTGATTTTAGAGAGAGTGGAAAGGAGAGGGAGAGACATCCATGTGAGAGAAACACACCGATTGGCTGCCTCTTGCATGCGCCCTGACCAGGGTCTGGGTCAGGGAGGAGCCTGCGACCCAGATATGTGCCCGTGACAGGAGTCGAACCCGGGACCCTGTGGTCCGCAGGCCGAGGCCCTGTACACCGAGCCACGCCGGCCGGGGCTCACGGGGACGCTCTGGACCCCGTGGCGCCCAGGTTCTGGTGCACCGTGGCCCTCGCCTCCTCCAGGCTCAGGATCTGGCTCTTGTACTTGTGCTTCCAGTCGTCCACGATGTACTCGTGGTAGGGGTCGTTGGCGTGCTCCTGCCGCTTGGACTTGACGGTGCTCACCAGGATGGCCACCACGATGAAGGAGAACATGCCGATCATCACCAGGAGGTACAGGATGACGTAGTAGAAGTTCTCGGCGTTCACCCGGGCCTGCAGGGCGTCCTGCTGGGCGGTCGTGTTCCGGCGCCAGGCGTCCATGTACCCCGCGAGGACCCTCCGGAGGGCATCCTCCAGGGTCTGCGTCAGGTTGGCCAGGGCGGGCATGCTGACCCTGCGGAAGCCAACAGGGAGACGGCGGACGGTTAGAAGGGGTCCTTTCCTCTCGCGGCTGCGGCAGGCATGGCCGGAGGGCCACGCCGGGGGGAGCAGGATGACCCCTCCCTCACCTGGCTGGCGATGAGCCGAGTGCACATTTGGTTGTTCTTTAAGATTTTCATTTGCGAAATAGATCCAGAGGATCCAAGATGGCTGACAGGTAAACACCTAGCCGCAGCCGCACACAACAATTTCAATAAAATACAACTAAAATATAAAATGGACATCACCCAGAACTACAGGAAAGTTGACTGAATGGAAATTCTACAATGAGAAGCAAGGAGGAAACCAGAAGGAAGCGCGGAGGAGCTGGAAAAGCCTAAGGTACGGAGACGCGCGGCGCGGAGAGGACGGAGCCGGAGAGGAGGGAGGCGGAGTGCCTGGCGGCGTTCCCTGGCGGGAAGGAGATAAAACTCCCACTGTGCTGGGCCCCATTCTGACTGCTCTGAACCCCAGGCCTAGGCCAGACCCCGGGGACCCAGGCTCACCCAGAGGGAGCCGGGCTGCGAGGCGGAACCCCGGGGAGCGGCGAAAGGAGGTCCCGGCGCGCACAGTGCGCGCAGAGAAGGGCCGGCCGGCTGTGCCGCGGGACTGCCCTGGCGGGAAGGAGACGGGGCTCTGGACTGCTCTGAACGCCACCTCCAATCCCCCCTCCAACTGAACTGAACCCCAATACCGGGCTCATTGGGGGAGAGACTAGACTGTTTGGCAGCAGGCGAAAATCGAGGGCGCCTTTCTCTCAGAGGCGCTTTGCAGCGAGCACTGAAGGACCCGCATAGGGCGGGGCTGACGGAAGCCAAAGCTGCAGGCTCCACCCTGAAACCCCGTCCCATCTGTAACTGCGAAATGCAACAATAAAATAGATCACAAACGAAATAAATGGAGGACAAAAAGTGTCTGGATATAGAGTTCAAATCTATGCTTATAAGGTTTTTCAAGAATTTCCTAGAAAAGATGGATAAGACCTATGATGATATGAAAAGAGATCAACTAGAATTAATAAGGAGTCATCAAGAAATGATAAGGGATCAACAAGAAATAAAGAATACATTGTCTGAAATAAAAAATATTTTACAGAGTCCTAAAAACAGAAGGGAAGATCGCAAGAATCAAGTCAAAGATTTGGAACATAAAGAGCCAGAAGACACTCCTCCACAGAAGCTAGAAGGCAAGAGAATCCAGAAAATTGAACATAATGTAAGAAACCTCTGGGACAACTTCAAGCGAACCAACATCAGAATTATGGGGGTCCCAGAAGAGGAGAGAGAGCAAGATATCGAAAACATACTGAAAGAAATAGTGACAGAAAACTTCCCCCACCTGGGGAAAGAATTAGACTTACAAGTCCAGGAAGCACACAGAACTCCAAACAAAAGGAATCCAAAGACGACCACACCAAGACAAATCATAATTAAAATTCCAAGAGCAAAAGACAAAGAGAGAATATTAAAAGAAGCAAGAGCAAAGAAGGTAGTTACCTATAAAGGAGCACCTATACGATTGTCAGCTGACTTCTCAACAGAAACCATGCAGGCCAGACGGGAATGGCAAGAAATATTCAAAGTGATGAATAGTAAGAACCTACAGCCAAAGATAATCTATCCAGCAAAGCTATCACTCAGATTCGAAGGTCAGATAAAGAGCTTCACTAATAAAAAAAAAAGCTAAAGGAGTTCATCACTGTCAAACCAGAATTATATGAATTGCTGAAGGGGGTTCTTTCGGAAGAGAAAGTAAATAAAGATAAAAATTATGAACAACAAATACGTAACTATCAACAAGTGAATCTAAAAACCAAGGAAATTAAAAAAAATCTGATGAACAATAGTAACTGTTGAATATAATAGAATCAGAGGTATGGAAGGGGAGTGAACTGACGATTCTTGGGGAAAAGGGGAGAGGGGGGCGTGGGAAGAGACTGAACATAAACTGTGCACCTATGGATGAGGACAATGGGGGGTGGGGAAAGGGCAGAGGGTGGGGTGGGAACCTGGTGGAGGAGAGCAATGGGGGGCGGGGGAAGGAACATTTGTAATAATATGAACAATAAAAACTTATTAAAAAAAAAAAAGATTTTCATTTGCATCTGCCGCAGGCATGATATTTGACAAAAGGGTAATGGGGTGCCGGAAGCCAGTTCCAGCATGTCATAACTGCAAGAGTTTCATCGAAAGGTGGATGGAACTTGGGGAGTGAACAAGGGCTGATCACATATGTTATCACCTGTTGGGATGGCTGAAGGCATTTCTCCAAACCTGAATAGGGTGATTGTTTGCTGCCAGATAGCTCAGGGCTTCTCAATCTACATGTTACTGCCTCCTCCTGGCCAAACACCTGAACAGCTAAAGGCAATTCCCCAATCTGACACTGCTTCTGTATGGAACCCTACCCTTTGAGGTGTATATCCCCACCCTGCCTTAGGACAAATTGTGTTAATAAAAAGCAAGGGGTCCTGAGACAAGGAGAACTTGGTTTCTTTAGCCAGGCTCCTCTGGCCCCCCAAATGCCTTCCAAAATTATGTTTAGTCTCTGAACTCTTATTTAATTTACACACAGCTCCTTGTCCAGATTCCAGAATCTTTCTAGATGCTGGATCAAGACCCCCTGGCATTAAAGGATGCCCAATGTCTGGCATTAATGCAGGGATAACACTGTACATAGTATGATCCCAATGTGTATATATGTCCATAGCCCTGGCTGGCGTGGCTCGATTGATTGGAGCATTGTCCCATACACCAGAAGGTGGCAGGTTTGACTCCCAGTCAAGGTACACACCCAGGTTTTGGGTTCCATCCCCAGTCAGGAGGCGACTGTTCAGTGTTTCTCTTTCTCTCTCCCCTCCCTCTCTCTGAGATCAATAAAAACAAACAAACAAATAAAATACGTATGTAAATGGAAGATACATGCATGGGAAAATGGGAGAAGACTAGAAATAAATAGTTTGAAACGTTCATAGTGAGTGGTACACTTAATACTTCCTTTCTTCTTTAGACTTTTCTCATGTTTCCAGTGTTCACCAATATTCTTGCATTACTTTGCTTTAAATTGGACGGTTAACCTCACAGTAGTTAGCACAATGCCTTGTTCGTAACAGGCTTCCCACGAGCCTCAGCTGCTACCTCCATGGCCCGGGTGCCCAGTGCTCAGAGGATTATGGGATGGAAGGCTGCAAAGGGACAGCGACAGGGTTTGGAGTTCGTGTCTGACCCTATGACCAGGCAGCGCCTTCCCAAGTACAGCAAAGAGGTGACTAGTCCATCCGCGTCTGAAAGGCACGTTCCGGTGAGGATGCAAAGCAACAGCCTGAGACGCCATCTCCTCCAGCCTGCTCTCCGCCTCACTGCCCACCCCACCCAGCCACCAGCATCACCCTGGTGACACTCTTCCACACCACACAGCCTCCTGCACGCCCCCCCCCTCGGCCCATTGCCCTCCCCGCCCTGCACGCCAGTCGCTATCTCCTTTTGCTTGCTTGTTTTTTTGTTTTGTGAATCCTCACCCGAGGATGTTTTCCATTGATTTGAAGGGAGAGTGGGCGAGAGAGTGAGAGACGGAGAGAAACATCGATGTGAAAGCAGCACATCGATTGGTTGCTTCTTGCACCCGCCCAACCAGGGCCTGGCCAGGGAGGAGCCTGTGCTGAGCAGGGGTGCAGGTCCTCTCAGGCCATAAGAACCCTGACGACCAGCAGGGGTCTGCCCAGCGCCCTCTGAGGGTGGCGAGTGACCCTGCCTCTCCTGTGTCCTGTGCAATGCGCCAGAAACCACGGCAACAGTGACCCATGATGGATTTGCAGGTTGGGGAGGAGACAGGGCAGGAGAAGGGTGTGCAGGTCCCTCAAAAAAGGAAACCATTTCATTTTATTTCTCCTGAACAGAGTACATAGGCGCACACGAAGCTCTCCCTTCAGTTCCAGGGGCTTCCGGGCCCCCCAAAGCCCTCAGTGTGGACGCCCCAGGGTATCCAAGGTGGGGCTGTGGCGTGCTCACCGTCCACTGGGGGGCCCTGCTCACTGGTCAGCTGTCCTGCAGGGACACCCAGGGTGCTTTCCGATAAGACCTACCCGCAGGGAAAGGCTTGGGAGTCAGTGCCCGGAGGGGCCCTGGCCAGGCTGGCAGCGTCCGGTCCGAGGTGGACCCCGTTTTGAACACTGAGCACTGGGGTGTCTGGGCCACGGCCCCAGGAAGGAGCCCAGCTCAGCATGCCCCGATGGACACACGGAAACATGCAAGTTCTGGTTCTGACACCCACACAACTCTGTGACCGAGGCGCAGGCCGTGTTTGGAATGCGTGCTTCCCCCAATAGGTGTTGACATAAGCCATTATTTACCTCCTGTTAAACCCTGTGAAGCTGCCTCCATTACAGGTTAAAAGGGCCGGAATTGGCAATTTCACAGGGTTCTCAGGTATTTTTACTAAGGAATTCTTGCTCTAGCAATAACACAAAAACACCATGATGGTCCAGCCGGGGGGCTCAGTGGCTGAGTGTTGACCCATGAACTGGGAGGTCACAGTCAGATTCCCGGTCAGGGCACAGGCCCGGGTTGTGGGCTCAATCCCCAGTAGGGGGCGTGCAGGAGGCAGCTGTCCCATGATTCTCTCTCATCATGGATGTTTCTCTCTCTCCCTCTCCCTTCCTCTCTGAAATCGATAAAAACATTTAAAAAAACCACCTCGATGGGCCTTGGAGATGACAGAGCGCGTGCAGGAGGCAACCAATCAACGTGTTTCTCTCACATCGATGTTTCTCTCTCTCCCCCCTCCTGCTCTCTCTAAAAGTCAGAGGTAAAGCATCCTTGGCTGGGGATTAAAAAGAAAAAACTTACAAAATGAAATTTCTGACTAAACAAGGAGAACACTGCCAACGAAAGGAGAGAGAGAGAGAGAGAGAGAGAGAGAGAGAGAGAGAGAGAGAGGAATTCTTAAAAATCATTCCTTTTGTGATTTTC